GGTGAGGGGTAGGGAGGTGGCTGCATTGTTGGTAGGAAGCAAAAAAAACCCAAAAGGCAATTTAGGCAACTTGCCACTGAACCAGCATGGGAGAAGGGCCTTTCAGTGCTCACCAGAGCAGTCTGAACCAGGAGGAAACCTCAGTGATCACGTCGCAAAATCGTGTTTGTTCTTTAACGAATGCCGGGACCAGGCACGGATTGGGGAAGAAGGGCAGGGCCAGGGTTACTCACTGGGGAGCAGACAGGAAGTGAACGAGGAAAGCCAACCAGAGCAGAGGCCTGTCCTCAGAGAAGGAAGCGGGCAACCAAAAAGTCCGTGCAGACAATGGCGGTCGCCTGCTGTGGTGGTGGTGGTGGGAGTTGGAGGCTGTCGGGTCAGCGCTAGCTCATGGCAACGTGAGGTATGACAGCCCGGTCTCGCACCCCCTTCACGGTCCTTGGCCTGTTTGCGTCCCTGCTTGTAGCTGTGTGGTCAGCCCATCTTATTGCAGGTTTCCCGCCTTTTCTTTGCCCTGCTTTAGCAAACACAATGCCCTTTCCCGAAGACATGTCCAAAGAAAGTGAGTCCGGCGGCTGGGACGTTCACTTCTAATGATCCTTCCGGTTAGATTTCTTTGAGAAAGATGAGGCTGTCGACTGCTGTCAAGAGACACAGTCTCAGAAACTCACAGGGGCAGTTCTGCCCTGCCCGATAGGGTCACTGTGAGTCAGCATCGACTCAATGGCAGCAAGTTGAGCAAAGTTAAAAAAAGAGAGAGACAGAGAGAGAGAGAGAAGTCTGCCATTCCCTGGCTAATGTTGAATACAGGATCCGCTGCCAGGTCCCCGCCCCCAGCTGTGGCCTCTCTGCCCTGCCCAGGCAACGACCTCTGTTGGCTGCCATCCAGGGCTGGGGACCATCAGGGTGGCTGGGAAGGTCAGGAGGGCTTCTGTCCCTGCAGTTCTTGGTGTCCACACGTCTTGGGACAATGCTCAGAGTTCCACAGGCACGTCTCTGCTTCACCCCCACCCCACCCCACCCCACCCCCAATGCCTGTCCCAGAAGATGGAAGTCAGGGTGCTTTGGAAGGTCCTAAGAGCTGAATGTTAGCGTAACTGAGGTGTAGGCAAGATGGCAGCGTCATTACTTTTTAGATGAAGAATTCAGAGGCCAGAGAATGACCTCAAGCCTGGGTATCCAGGTAGCCTGGCGGCTATTGGCTGCTATGGCAATGCTGCCCCACCTCCAACTACACCCCACCCCCACAGGAGGCCTTGTCCAGGAGTGCAGGGGCACAGACGTCTGGGAAGTCCTGCTGTATTTGCTCTGTGCTGGGCTGGCCATCTCACTTGCCACCTTCCACGGCCTGAGGATGCGTGGCTGTCAGTGTAGCTGTGGCCCTTTCTTGCCTGTGGGAGCTGAGAATTACATCCTATAGTGCCTCACACAACACTGAGGTGTGTACATGGTTCAATGCAATTTAAGTGGGAAGTGATTTTGTCCACAAGCAGAGTGTGTTAGACTGGATAGACTAGAGAAACAAATCATGGACACACATATGTGTATAAGAAAAAGATTTATATGCAAGAGCAATTGAACATTGAGAAAACATTCCAGCCCAGATCAAGTTCATAAGTCTGATATTAGCCCATATTTCTGATATCAATCTATAAAGTCCTTTTCAGACTCACAAAACACATGCAATAACGCCAAATACAGAAGATCACAGGCCAGTGGGTAGAAAGTCTTTTAAGGTGACCAGATGTCCTGCTTTTGGCGGGACAGTCCCCATTTTTGGCGTTTTAAAAAAGTCCCGATTTTTGGAAAGAATGCACGGCAAGCTAGGGAACGGTCTATTTGGTCCATATAGACCAAATTTTTAATCAAGAACCACCCCCACCCCCTTGCCCCCAGTCAATGGTGTCCCGCTTTAAATCTGGTCACCTTATCTTTGGATCCAGTGTCATTGGAAACATCTCGGCGCTGGCAGGGATCTCTCTATGGCTTCTCCAGCTTCCGAGGTCTGGTTGCATCCATGTGGCTTGTCTTCTGCAATGTCTCCCAGGAAGTGGCACACAGAGAGAAGTGTCTTCCGCCCCCAAGGAGGAAGTACCAGATTTCCTAGAATTCTCAGGAGAAGGCCATGCCCACACAGAAGTCTCATTGGCTATCTCCAGATTGACAGCCTAGACTCCACCCCTACACTCTTAATCCTTAAATTGACACCAGATTAGGTGACAGCCACACAGAGGTTTGACTCCTTAAGAGAACCCTAAGGTTCTCTGGTGAGAATGATCGGCATTTGCTTTATTTTTTTCCTCTGAAAGTGAGCATCACCTGAGCCCCAGTGTTTCTTATTCAAGAGCCAGTGATAGCCAGGAGGTGCATGCCATGACTAACCCAAGGTTAGGGTTTAGAATCAGCCCAGTAGCACTGTGGAAGAAAGACCTGGCAGTCCATGTCCACACAGAGGACAGCCTGGGACAACCTATAGAGCAGTTCCATTCCGTAGTACAGGGGGAGCTGGGGTTTGGTGATGGCTTTGGCGGCTGTTTTATAGCCAGGAGAATATTTCCAACCAACACAGGAACACAGGCATGGTGCGTTGGGTAGGTTTCCCAGCACGAAGTATACTTGTTTCATAGCTTGTTGAAGACACTGCTTGGACTTACTACATCGAGTGGTTTTGAGAACTTGTGACAGGGAGGAGACCCAGCAGGGGTTCCATGATAAAGGTTCTGTCTTCTACAAAGTAGACCTGGGTTTAGTTCCCGCCACTCCATCGTCTGCAGCCACCACCACCCATCTGTCCATGGAGGCTTGTGTTGTTGCTGGGCGGCTTTCTGTGGGACTTCCAGAGTAAGACCCACTAAGAAGACAGGCCTGGTGATCCCAACCTGAAAAATCAGCCTGGGAAAACCCTCCTGATCACAAAGGTCAGGCCCCGTTGTATCTGGGGTCACCTTGAGTGGGTAGCCCACCGGAGGGCAGCCTGCCGCCACACAATAAAGTTGAGAGAGAGAGAGAGAGACAGAGAGAGAGAGACTCTTGCCTTGAGGAGACGTGAAAGGGCTAACGAACTTGCCAAAGCGCTCCCTCCAAAGTGTTCGTGGTGGAGGCAGGTCGAGTCACTTCTCCTTTGGGCGCAGTTTATGCCAGTTAACCAAGCCGTTGTTTTCCAGAATTAAGTGTTGGCATGTCTCTTGGAGACGATAGCTTAATAAGCCGTCAAAGCACAGAAGGGAGTCTTAAGTCCTGGGCGTGCAAGTTCCCTCCCAGGGCTGTGATGGCTGAGGCTCTGGGTCAGCTTGACTAGGCTCCAGCATCCAGTTGTTGGGTCGAACCCTCATCTGGGTGCTGCTGTGAAGGTGTGGGGTAGATGTGATGAATACTGACAACCAGCTGATGCTGTCAAGGGTTCCCCCCAATAATGGGTTGCGGGGAAGAGAGCTCATCCAATCGGTTGAAGGTCTTAAGAGCAAAAACGAAGGTTTCCTAGAGAAGGAATTCTGCCCCAAGACTGTAACAAAGACATCCTGCCTGAGTTTCAAGCCTGCCTGATCTAAGGATTTTGGAAGCGCTAGCTCCTGTAATCACATTAGCAGCCAGTTCCTTGCCAATTCCCAATTGGGTAAAGGAAATCTTGAGGTAGTTAGTTTATTGTGCCAACCTGGCCAATAAACACATGTGGGGTTAATTGAAGGGCAGAGTGATAAATGCTCGGTGAGCCTTACCTTTCTGGTTCTTGGGTCTCTGGCTTTGTGATGGTCTGACCAGGGTGCAGTTGCCTTAGCTAGTTCTCTGCTTCAGCTGACCAGGGTCATTTCCTGCAAGATATCCCCAAGGAGAAGCCCCATGGACCTACCCCGATGCAGCCTTGGGTGCTGGAGCAGCCACGTGGAGACCCCTGCCAGCGCTGAGATGCTTACACGTTCACTGACTCGGCTTTCCTCCTGCAGTCGGCATCATTGTGTCTGTTTTGTGAGGTGGAGGAATGCTTTGTGACTTGATGTTGGACATATGGGTTAATATTGGACTTGTGGGCTTGGGCAGTATTAGGTTGGGGTGTTTTCTTGATGCGCACTTACCCTTTATATAAACCTCTCTCTTATCATGAGTTTCTGTGGATTTGTTTCTCTAAAGT